AACTTGAATTATGAAATGTTGTGTGACTCTCTTATTAGCTTCGCATAATAATGCTAATATTACTTTTACATCCTTTGTTTAACTCATTAACTGATGCAAATGCTCATACAATATAAAAATTAAATCATACTTTTACATTACAACATTTAATTAAATTGTAACATCTTATATATACGTTTAACTAGACTTTTCACCCGTACGTTGCACGCGATGCAACTAATAAGCTATGAATAATTTAGAAGAAAAAAATATAGTAAAAATAAAACAACACAATGATATGTTATATTAGAAAAGTAAATGAATATTAAAAGTACAAATTATTATACACCTCTTCGTAAACCACATTTAAAGTATTTTTGGATGATTTTCTTTCATCTTCACATAATAAGCTTCAATCGAAAAAGATGCATTAATCTTGAGAGGGCGGCGTAAAACTACTGATAGGTGAAGACTGTCCTTGAGGTTTGTTGATTTCATCATGTAACTAAGCATTAAAGGAAGTTGTCTATCCTGGACAGGGGTGGATTCGGGTCGGGTCGGGCCCGGGCCAGGCCTAGGCCCGGTCAGGCCGACGGTTCGTATCACATGGGCCCAGGACCGGCCCGAGGGTTGGACGGGTCCGGTTCGGGTCGGGCCACCCGCCGGGCCGGGCCGGGTCGGTTAAATTTTTTTTTTTTAATTTATATTTTATACTTTATAGTTTTATACAAGTATTAAAAAACAAACTTCAAGTGCATTTATTTGAAATGAAATAGGAACTACATTTGAAAATTAAATAGGAACTATAATTGTTTTTAAAACATGAAATACTAATCAATCATTCAATATTTCAATCGGAATCTCCGGCATAGGTAGAGTCACCCTCGGTTGTAGATCCATCCATAAAGTGTTGGGATGGGGTGATGTCAATTTCTTGAGCTCTACGGGCTGCTTTCAACCAATCGTGGTAGCATATAAGCATCTCAAGAGATTCAGCGCTCAAGCTCGTTCTGGTTTGTGTTAGGACATTGCCGGCCGAACTAAATTCTTGTTCCACGGCAACCGTTGAAACCGGCATTGATAGCACTTGCTTAGCCATCTTTGCTAAAACCGGGAACATTCTTTCTTTTCCCTTCCACCAGTTTAGTACGTCAAAATCATCATCTTCTTCAAAATCAACATCATAAGTTAAATACAAAGAAATCTCATTAATTGTGCTTTGTTGTGTAGCGGGAGTTGATTTCGTTTTTTTAATAAGATTGGCAAACGTAGATTTGAAAATTGATTTCCTTTAGATGATGTTTGTGTCGGGGGAGGGGGCGCATTGCCATATTGTGCATGAAACTCATTGAATAATGCATAAAATATATCACTAACCTCGTTGTATTCTTTTTTCGGATCAATTGGGTTGTCCTCATACATTGGCAATGGACCAAAAAAAGCAGCATAATAATAATTCAAACATTCTTCTAAAGAACCAAGTCTTAAACGAGGATCGAGAACAAATGCAAAACCATAAATATGCGGAATATGTGAATAATATTTTAAAAACTTTTCCTTCATAAAACTAGCAAAATAACTCACATAATCAGCATTCTCAAAATTTGAAAAAGCACCGGCGAGATTAACAGCTTCACGAATAAATTGGTTTGAGGTAGGTTTATAAACATGACTAAAAGTTTCAGTTGCATTATTAAAATATATCAAAGCATTACAAATTTTTTCACAGGTGTCGATCTCAGCCGAGTTTATAATATAGTTATCATATTGTTTCATAAAAGCAGGAAAATGTTGTTTATATCTAAGAAGAACTCCAATTAACTTATAGGTACTATTCCAACGAATAGACAAATCTTTAGGAAAAGCCACATATCTCTCACCTCTTTCTATCAAATAATCATGCCATTTTTTCCTAAGTTGTCCATTACCCCAAATACGTCTAATCCCCCCCTTGACTACCTCCAACGATGCTCCCAACGCTTTTAGACCATCTTGCACACATAAATTTAGAACATGACATGCACATCGTTGATGAAAAAATCTACCCATCAAAGAAGTAGAACCACACAATTCACGCAATCTAGGAATAGCAGCAGTATTATTAGTAGCATTATCAAAATCAATAGCAAACACCTTATCAACTAAATTATACTCAATTAAAATACGCTCAATCAAAATATAAATATGTTCAGCGGTGTGACGATCATTAAATTCACGGAAAGCAAGAACACGTGTATGCATATGCCAATCATTATCAATATAATGTACAGTCAGACTCAAATAATGTAAATTATGATAAGTATCCTCCCATATGTCAGAACATACAGTAACACGTCCATCAAAGTTTGCAAAATAATTTTGTAACCTTACCATTTCCGCACCATAAAGCCTTGAAATTTCTTTCTTAACCGTTTTGCGACTATAACCTCTATATTGCGGATTTAAACAAGTTTGTGCATAATCACGAAAAGCAAGACTTTCAGAAAACAAATAAGGCAAATTTTCTTCAACAAGTAAGTTAGCCATACCTGTCAAATTTTGTGCATCATTGTATGAGAATTAACTAATTTTGTGTACAACATATTTTTTAAACTAGAGTCAAATGTAGCAATTAATAAAAAAATTGTAAAAAACTAATTAACTATTTATGTAACTATTAATTCGAGTTATAGCAAATTAACTAGTTTTGTGTACAAAATATTTTTTAAACTAGAGTCAAATGTAGCAATTAATAAAAAATTGTAAAAAAGTAATTAACTATTTATCTAACTATTAATTCGAGTTATAGCAAATTAACTAGTGAATTAACTAGTTTTGTGTACAACATATTTTTTAAACTAGAGTCAAATGTAGCAATTAATAAAAAATTGTAAAAAAGTAATTAACTATTTATCTAACTATTAATTCGAGTTATAGCAAATTAACTAGTGAATTAACTAGTTTTGTGTACAACATATTTTTTAAACTAGAGTCAAATGTAGCAATTAATAAAAAATTGTAAAAAAGTAATTAACTATTTATCTAACTATTAATTCGAGTTATAGCAAATTAACTAGTGAATTAACTAGTTTTGTGTACAACATATTTTTTAAACTAGAGTCAAATGTAGCAATTAATAAAAAATTGTAAAAAAGTAATTAACTATTTATCTAACTATTAATTCGAGTTATAGCAAATTAACTAGTGAATTAACTAGTTTTGTGTACAACATATTTTTTAAACTAGAGTCAAATGTAGCAATTAATAAAAAATTGTAAAAAACTAATTAACTATTTATCTAACTATTAATTCGAGTTATAGCAAATTAACTAGTGAATTAACTAGTTTTGTGTACAACATATTTTTTAAACTAGAGTCAAATGTAGCAATTAATAAAAAATTGTAAAAAACTAATTAACTATTTATCTAACTATTAAACTAGAGTCAAATGTAGCAAATTAACTAGTAATTAAACAAGTGTAAATAATAGAATAATTTCGTACCTCTTTCGGACTTTCGGTCTTTCGGATGGGAGTAATAGAATGACTTCAAATTAATTAGATATAATTCCAACTATATTAATAGATATAATAAATATATAAGTAATATATAATTAGATAACAAATATAAGTAATATAATACTATTTATATCTATTTATAGTTTATATAATATAAGTAGATAATTAATATAAACTATAAATAATAAATATAATATATTGGAGAATGGAGAATAAGAGAATTAGAGAGTAGAGAGTTAAGAATAGGAAGAATTGGAGAAGAGATATGAAAAAATGTTTAAGATTAGGAGTATTTATAGGTTTTTTTACCCTCCACCCCCCCCCCCCCACCCAACCCCCCCGGACCCCCCAGCACCCCACCCAACGGCTATATAGCCGTTTGAGTTGTCCCCAGCCCACCCATAACGGCTAGTAGTACCAATTTAACAAAAAAAAATTAAATTATACCGTGCCCGCCCCGCCCATTCTCACCGGTTCGGGTCCACACCCGGTCCCGGATCGCCCGACCGGGCCGGTCCCAGGCACGCACAATGTCGGGCTGGGTCACGGGCTGGGTGACCCGAACCGAATCCATCCCAGATCCTGGAATGTGAACAACATTAATAATTATTATAAAGTGAATAATTCATTAAGAACGTAATTTAAAAAAGAGTTGTATTGTTTTGTTTTTTACCAAACAAATCTGATGTTTTTTCGTCGATTACATTTTGAATGTCAATGAAGCTTTTGAACTTATATGGGGAACCTCAAAAAGCAGAAATCTCTCTCACGCTTGAAGTTTTAACTTTGTTTTATGTAAAGTGGGCCCTAAAATTGTAACAAATCGGTATCCGTCATCCTAGATTACTATGGTCAGTGAATTACATCATCCCATAGACTTGTCCATCTTCAATTCTAGAGTTTCAAATATAGTAGCATGCTACTCATCAATTTTATGCATATAAAGATGTATATTAAACCTTAAAACTCCATAAATTTGCCAGTTTTTTAATCAATTAGCAAGAGAATTGATTCTAACACAGTAACACCTTACTAAAAGTTCGAGTTGATGTAGTAGTTTGTGCACGTGACTGCACTGGATTTATATTAGATATATATATGATCTTGATACATATAGATAACCAATAAATGAAAATGCAAAAAGTACAACATGAAACCAATAAAAGTAGTCTACATGAGCACCATTCAAGTTGTCTGAAAGCAAACTTTCTCTATCATCATCTTTACCTGCAACGGCTGGCTCAAGGAGATGAGAAAGCTGCATAGGATGCTAGCTGCTCAACAATGGAGATGAGAAAGCTGCCTATTCCAAATATCCGAAGGATTCATAAATAGCTTTGTCAATTGTTTGGGCACTTGTTCAAAAAAACTCTCGTGTTCAACCATGGTGAGCACATCCGAAATGACAAACAATGCACAATTTATTTTATAATGAAGTACCAAGAAACCACATTAAACATTGATTAACATTACTGTCATTACATAAAAACACACAACGCAGACATCTACCACACTTGTACTAAAATTAAAGTCATCAACTTTTTATTTTGATCCCAACCAACAAAGTCAGTGGGGTAATAGCGGGAAACACCTACCAAATATCAATATATCATTAAATCCAAAAGGCAATTACAAAAGAGAGGGGCATAACCCAAAACATCTCTAATGAAAGCATACTTCCACCATTACATGAAGAAGCATATATACAATATATGCAACCACTAATGAAAATAAACAAAGGATTACTTTAAACTAAAGAGCAGTAAAAATGCTCTCAATACATGTATGGAACATCTTTAGCGTCAAGCCAAATAGCCCCAAGAACATCCCGTGGCAGCTCGCTCAACATAAAAAAAAAGCCCCAGACATGCAAGCAATATGTTTAGTCAAAAGAACCGCCACACGATTGACACGGCTGTTAACCAACCTGATCTTACAAACATATCTCATGCCCTTCTCGTCCTCCTTGCTCATATGTCTCTGATTTTCAATATAAAAACCTATCACAACTGCATTTGATATTTCAATCTTCACATTTTCATGTCTCTATCAAGTACACCAATGAATAACTTGTTTGCAGAAGAGAATTTAGTGTTCATACCTGAATTAAACTTGAGAAATGTCTCCAAATATAATATGAGAAAGGTCAGCTTAAAAGCACATTAATGTTCCAAATATAATATGAGAAAAGGAAACAGTGATGCCACAACTTCCATAAGAAAATAATGTTCTTGGTTGGTTGATGTGGATGGCAAATCATAGAATAAGAGAGAGTAGTTCCGTTCTGATTCTTGGTTGGTATACTGAAAAACAAGCGGTATACTGGAAGTCCAATGTCATGTCAAAATAAAATCTCACATAAACTAAAAAACTATTAACAAAAACCTGCAACTATCATTGACTTTCATGTTAGGGATCCAACCACAGATTACTAATATTGCATTATGTGAAACAAGCCAATGACCAGAAAATATCATTACTCACTAGATATTTACATAAGAATGTACTGGGGAGTAACTGCAGGGATGTTTAAGGCAATCTGAAAATAGATGAATCGTGTCTCAATCTAAATCTTGAGCATTTGGATTAAAATTGTCCACTTCAAAAAAAGCATCACTTATAGATATTGATGCCACACATAATCAGTTAAGAGTAGTCAATGGCTATTCAAGAATAAAGGGCTTCAAGGCATCCCTTTAAAATGTCAAAGCAGAGTAATTCCAACAAAATATCAGTTCAAATTTGAACTTCAAATACATATTTAAAAGCAATTATAGCATAGAATTCATTAAAGCAATAAAGATGAAGCAACCCGAAATCTGAAATCTACATGATCACTGAACTCGTGGCTATCATTTGAATTCCTTGAGCTCTGAAAAGAGAGAAAAAGGGTGGAAAAATAATTCATGGAGAATAAACAAAAAACCACTTATAAATAGTAAATAAAATCAAACATGAAGATTGTGACAGGAAGAGCAGACAGCCCAAAGAGAAAAAACTGGGGTAAAAGTACTGCATCCATTCAAGAACCTATGAGAAAGAAAACTGCGAACAATTCAGAAAGTGAAAAAGCCTAGAAACCAAGAGAGAAAATACGAGGTGAAATAAGTTATAATAATGTTCAACCCTATTCAAGAATCAAGGCTTCAAGGGAATCAAGAAAGCAGGCACATAATGATACACACTCGCACAGGAATGTGAAGACCAACATAGAACAGAGCAACTAATTATACGGGGATAAAGGGATATATATGAAATGACTTCTTAAAAATCAATATTCTTGATACTCACCAAGCCACCAATCTAGGCTGAATCACAAGGAAACATTGTGAATAAAACCTATATACTCAGGTTTTGAAATTTCCATGACTTCTACAATTATATCTTTTTCGGGCAACTGACCAATTTTGAGAGTGTGTTGCCCTAAACCACAAGCCCTTACTGGCCATATTATTCTGCAGCTCCAATGCAGTTTTTAACATCAAGTTTAAACTCAGGCAAACAACCGATAATATGCAAAAAGGCTGAAACCAGATAATCTGCAGATTCAACACACAAGCCCTTACTGGCCATATTATTCTGCACCTCCCATCATATATTTCTATTTAGTAAAAAAAGTAGATAATCTGAAACCAACTGATAAACTAGTTGGAATTGAAGTAATGCAAATCTAATATGCAAAAACTGAAACCATTTAAAATCGATATCACAGATGGAAGAACAAACATATACAACAAAAGATAATAATTTAGTAATTTACTGGATGCACAAATGATTTTACCAAATGACAATCATACTTCCAGCTGAAAATTGGAACATGTCTATGCCTGAGAGGAAGTCTGAGAACGTTCCTGAGTCGCATTTGCATCTGCAGGAGAAATATAAAGATGCATTAGATTATTATTAAAATTTATCATTTAATTCTAAACTTAATGCAATAAAAAAGCTTTACTCTTTTCAATTTCCTCAATCTCTTTATACAAGTCAAGTATAGGGCTGGGGAAAATACCGAAACGGCCGAAATACTGCTCTTGCCGTACCGAAAAATACCAAATTTTTTCCTTACCATAAATTTTGGTAAGGTATGTTACCATACCGAACTATTTTTAGTTGAGAAAGCTAAAATTAAGAGTGTGATTAGTGGGCAAAGGGCAAGTATCACAACCGATGCGTGGACTTCCATCCAAAACATAAATTATATGGTTGTTACTGCCCACTTCTTGGACAGCGATTGGAAACTGCACAAAAGAATAATTAATTTCACGAAAATCATAAGTCATGGTGGGGAAGATATTGGTAAGGTGGTTGAGGTTTGTCTAAGAGAGTAGGGGATAGAAAAGTATTTTCGATAGTAGTTCACAATGCTTCTTCAAATGATACAACAATTGACTACTTGAAAAAGAGAATGAAAATTGAAAAACCATTGTTGTTTGAAAGGAACTACTTGCATTTGAAGTGTGGATGTCATATACTCAATTTAATTGTTAAGGATGGTCTCAAAGAACTCAATGCTTCAATTGAATCTATAAAGAATGCAGTTCTTTTCATTCATTCTTCACCATCTAGGTTGCATAAATTTAGAGACTTTGCCGTACTAGCAAAGTTTTCTAATACATCAACTGTGCCTATGGATACAAAAACAATGTGGAATGCAACCTATAAAATGCTTGAAGTTGCATTAAAGTTTAGGAGGGTGTTTGAAAGGATGGCTGAAGAGTGGTTACCATTTATGAAGTACTTTCGTGAAAAAAAATGAAAAGGGTAGAGTACGGGTTGTGGGCCTCCAAGTCATGAAAATTGAGAGAATGCTAAAGCTTTTGTGCACTTCTTAAAAAAGTTTTATGATGTCACTTTAGAGTTAAGTGCATCAAAAACTCCCACCTCCCAATCTCAGTCCATGATAGCACTACAGATTGAAAGTGAAAAAAAGAAAAATTACAATTCTGACTCGATTCTCAAGGAGGTGGCTAGTGCTATGTTGTTAAAGTTTAAAAAGTATTGGGGCGATTGGAATACTATGAATCCTTTAATTTTTACTAGCCATATTTTTAGACCCATGAAATAAGCTCGAGATGATCAAGAAACTTCCAGATACTACTACAAAGCTCTAAGATTTTGTTGATAAAGTTAAAAGTGACTTAGTAACTCTGTGTGCAGAATACAAAGGCATAAATGAGACCACTAATGTTGAGCGGCAAAGAATGCAATTGGATGGTGGAGATGGTACTAGTAGTGCGGGTGATGGTCTTTGGGATGAATTATTTACTGACGTTGAAACACAAAGTGAGGAAGAGCAACTCCAAGAGATTTCTATTGAGGTGGATAAGTACCTAGTTGATGAGATTGAGATCAGATCTAATCAATCTTTTAATCTTTTGGAGTGATGGAAAGGAAGTGAAACTAGGTACCCAATTCTTTCATTGATTGTAAAAGATATTTTTGCAATATCAAGTTCAACGGTTGCAAGTGAGTCTGCTTTCAGTTTAGGGAAAAGGGTTGTCGATCCCTTTAGAAGGGGTTTAAGTCCTAAAATGGTTGAAGTTTTGGTTTGTACGAATTATTGGTTAAGAGTAAAGGAATTCAGCTTTTGTTAAGATCATCATCTGTTGGATCCTTATAAAAGCTGAAATCCTCTGCTCTTAACCAATCATTCGTACAAACCAAAGCTTCAACCATTTTAGGACTTAAACTGTTTCTAAAGGGATCGACAACCTTTTTCCCTAGACTCGCTTGCAACCGTTGAACTTGGTATTGCAAAAATATCTTTTACAATCAATGAAAGAATTGGGTACCTAGTTTCACTTCCTTTCCACCACTGCAAAAGATTAAAAGATTGAATAGATCTGCTCTCAATCTAATCAACTAGGTACTTATCTACCTCATTAGAAATCTCTTGGAGTTGCTCTTCCTCATTTTGTGCTTAAACGTCAGTAAATAATTCATCCCAAAGACCATCACCCACACTACTAGTACCATCTACACCATCCAATTGCATTCTTTGTCGCTCAACATTAGTGGTCTCATTTATGCCTTTGTATTCTGCCCACAGAGTTACTAAGTCACTTTTAACTTTATCAACAAAATCTTAGAGCTTTGTAGTAGTATCTGGAAGTTTCTTGATACTTACTTTTTTAATCATCTGGAGCTTGTTTCATGGGTCCAAAAATATTGCTAATAAAAATTAAAGGATTCATAGTATTCCAATCGCCCCAATACTTTTTAAACTTTAACAACATAGCACTAGCCACCTCCTTGAGAATCGGGTCAGAATTGTAATTTTTCTTTTTTTCAATTTCAATCTATAGTGCAATCATGGACTCATAAAGCAATTGGGAGGTGGGAGTTTTTGATGCACTTAACTCTTAGGTGACATCATAAAACTTTATTAAGAAGTGCACAAAAGCTTTAGCATTCTCTCCATTTTCATGACTTGGAGCCCCAACCCATACTCTATCCTTTTCATTTTTTTCACGAAAATACTTCATAAATGGTAACCACTCTTCAGCCATCCTTTCAAACACCCTCCTAAACTTTAATGCAACTTCAAGCATTTTATAGGTTGCATTCCACATTATTTTTGTATCCATAGGCACAGTTGATGTATTAGAAAACTTTGTTAGTACGGCAAAGTCCCTAAATTTATGCAACCTAGATGGTGAAGAATGAATGAAAAGAACTGCATTCTTTATAGATTCAATTGAAGCATTGAGTTCTTTGAGACCATCCTTAACAATTAAATTGAGTATATGACATCCACACCTCAAATGCAAGTAGAGCCTTCAAACAACAATGTTTTTTCAATTTGCATTCTTTTTTTCAAGTAGTCAATTGCTGTATCATTTGAAGAAGCATTGTGAACTACTATCGAAAATACTTTTCTATCCCCTACTCTCTTAGACAAACCTCAACCACCTTACCAATATCTTCCCCACCATGACTTGTGATTTTCGTGAAGTTAATTATTCTTTTGTGCAGTTTCCAATCGTTGTCCAAAAAGTGGGCAGTAACAACCATATAATTTATGTTTTGGATGGAAGTCCACGTATCGGTTGTGATACTTACCCTTTGCCCACTAATCACACTCTTAATTTTAGCTTTCTCAACTAAAAATAAGTCGTACACCATACCTGTCACCTTCATACGATCTGGTATTCTGAATCATGGTTGCAATTCATGCACAAGACTTGCAAAGCCCTTACAGCTCAGAATGACATCTAATCGATAATAACATATTCAGTAATCTTCAACTCACACCTTTTCTGATTGAAAGTATGAGAAACCAATTCACCGACCTGCCCCATTGTCATTTGTCAATACAGGCTGATTTTTGTCACTTTCACTTGCTTTGTACAAGGGACTTGATTTGCACCTCTTTTCTAAGTGGTTTTTCAACCCGCTAGTACTTCCATAACCCGTTGGGCTCTGCACTTGACAATACTTGAACATTCCGATTGGTTGAATGGTGCCATCCAGTGTTAGGAACGGGCCTATTAGAGTATTAATTAGAATAAAGTGTATAAGTTTAGTATAAATAGAAGTGCAGGGAAGGGTTTAGTAGGCTGTTTTAGACTTTGTCATTCGGGACTTGGGAAGATCGAGAGCTAATCTTTCTTTGGGGGGCTTCGGCTCATTGGGGGCTTCGGCCAGATTTCTTGTTCATCGCTAATAAAGTTTGTTGTAGTTTCTTTGAATTGCTGTTCATCTTTCTGTTAATGTTCAGTATACCTGGGGAAGCCTAACATTGGTATCAGAGCCTTACTTCCTGGAGATCGAGAATCTGAATCATGGAGGAGGATTTCTACATGACACCCCAAATGGAAAAGAGTTTTGATAATATTGACCGACTGATGAGGGAGACAAACGATAGGTTATCGACGATGATGGTCGCTATGTAGGCTGGCTTCGCGGACATGATAAACAAACTTCAAAGTCGGTCGCGAAACCGATCGCATGCGTCACACTCATCACATCGCGACTCTCATCATCACACGTGAAAGTCAGCAAGTCCTGAAAAATCCGAAGAGCGAAGGCACCGCAGGAAATCTGGCGACCGAACGAGGAACAGTAGGCGTCATCCGCTATCGCAGGTGGAGTCGCGAACTACTTCTCTTGGCTCGCAATCGTGAACTTCTTGTCATTGTTCACCGTCGCGAACAGCTTCTTTCAGTTCGCAGACTTCCTCGCCAGCCATCAGTTCGCAGGTGTCTTCTCTCAGTTCGCAGAAGACTTCGCCAACAACGTCTTCCAGTTCACGTAAGACACAATCGAGATGTGAAGCTCCCAGTTCACAATCGCGAACTGCTTCTTTCAGTTTGCAACCACCTGCAACAGCTGGTCTCAGTCCACAGGCATTCCCGTCTGCTAGTTTCTCGCATCAGAATGTGATGTTATTCAGAGAAGAATCTTCTTGTTCGCAATTTTTGTCGCAAGAAGTTTATAAGCCTGCGCACGTATTCTCTTCCAAGTTGAAGCAAGCAGAAATTGTAATCAAGGAAACAAATCCGGAAAAATCAATTCTTCTGAAACCAAATCCAGAATATTTTAATTTTGGAATTGGTAGATTTCCAAATCTGGGATTGGGTGTTCTAAAGGAAATTATGCACCTTTGTGTACTAAGTAATAGTTGGAAAGGACAGGATAAGTTTGATGATACTCCCTTGTGTAGCAGCAAACCGAAAATATCTTCAAGCAATCTATCTAAGCTCTTGTTGACAGTTTTGGATAGTAAGGGGGTAAAGGTAATAATGCATAATCTGGAAGAGTGGGTGTATGGTGTCATTATTTTTCTGCAGATAAGAAAACAGCAAGCCCACCTCAGTGTCTGGTTGATAGATACCAAGAAATTCTTTGCGGAAGTGGAAGTAAAAATGTTTATTGAATCATGGCAGGAGAATATTGAGGGAATGCTAGGTAGAATTAATAAAAGGGAATTGGGTGCCCTTATAGATTGTGTGCAACCCCCTTCATCAAAGTAATTGTTGGAAGACTTGAATCATTTTGAGGGTATCAAAACTGACGGTGTGAATTCTATGAAGAAGATCCGAAAGAGAGTTGTTTGGTGGAATGTTGTTGAGGGTACTAACAGTGCAGCAGAGGATGACATTGTTTTACTGAAGCGCATGATAGAACCACAGAAATTTGATGTCAAGCCTAACTTAAAGGTAGAAAAGGCAAATGGAGTTGAGCACGTTAAAAGGGATGAGGATCCTGATGTTCAGGACATGAATATAAATTCTGCTGCTGTTGTAAGGGGTATACCTCAGGAAAGAATGAAAATATTGGTGGCTATTGAAGGCCTGAAGACTAAGAAAGAGAAAGATACTTCACCAGAAACACTCTATGCTGCAGAAACATCTCAGAGTTGTGAAGATCTAATACTGAAGCTCTTTGCTCGGAAACCAATAAGATATTGGGAAGGTAGTAGTGCAAGGAAGAAGGAGCAAAGGATCTTGGCTGTCTCCTACCGCCCACCTTGAGGGCAAGGTGGATGTTTAGGGAGGGAGTATTGTTAGGAACGGGCCTATTAGAGTATTAATTAAAATAAAGTGTATAAGTTTAGTATAAATAGAAGTGCAGGGAAGGGTTTAGTAGGCTGTTTTAGACTTTGTCATTTGGGACTTGGGAAGATCGAGAGCTAATCTCTTTCTTTGGGGGGCTTCGGCTCATTGGGGGCTTCGGCCAGATTTCTTGTTCATCGCTAATAAAGTTTGCTGTAGTTTCTTTGAATTGCTGTTCATCTTTCTGTTAATGTTCAGTATACCTGGGGAAGCCTAACATCCAGCAAGGTCCTTGACCCTTTTGACAATGACTCCAAAAGATGCTTCGAGGTTCAGAAAGAGGGGGCTTAAGTGCTGCTGATTTGTTCCTTGCTCGTTTTCGGCTAGTGGCAGCTTCACGCGTTTCAAATTCTATCATATCGGGTGATTCAGATGGAGTTGGAAGAGAATGAGATGATTGAGATTCCATTCTTATTTCTGAAGTCAAAACAAATCAATAGTTTGTGAGGTGTTAAACAACCATCCATTCATCATCATTACCCCGTGCCGCAAAGGCTCCCACCTACGGTGGGGTAAGGGGGTACGGATGTACGCAGTCTTACCTCTATACTAAAGCACAGAGAGATTGTTTCCGAATGACCCGTAGTGAAAATCACGTCGAAAATTGCATGAGCTGACTGTTACTTCATAACAAAGAAGCGCAAACAGTTTAGTGAACCATTTTGCTTTATTTCATCATATTCCCAAGCCAAAAAATAGTGAGTCTTCTTATATATTAAATTAATATATATCTATATAATTAACATGACCTGCATTCATGCTAAATTACAATGATAGGAACTGTAGAAAAATGTTACATTATTAGAAAAATGTTACATTATTTTTTCTGATTAGATTGATGTACATAAGTGAGTCGGATAGACTTAGTTAGTTGTAGATAAGCTCATAGTTATCTAGATCCTAATATTTAGGATCTGTACCAGCTTATAGTTATCTGTACAAACTGTATTTATACTCTGGCCGGATGGCTCATTCAATCAAGGAAGTTTTATTCCTAAAACTTACAGGAACATAAAAATTACAATTCATTCATCACATAGCAGTCCTTAATACATACTACACATATACATGGAGTGAATTATCAAAGAACTAAATTAAGAATGTGTCTCCAATTCCAGACTCCATCTTGATATTAATGAATAATTATGATTGCAAATTAGGAAAACAGACATTTAAGCACTCACCAATATGTTTCTTGCAACAAAAATACTCTCTTATTTTTAAAACATTGAGGTTTATGGGATTAGAAGAACAATATGCTCTCAATAAGGTAATTGAATGAAATACACCATAACAAAACCTTATTTCCTCCCCTGGTTAAGCCTCTGGAGGTGAAAGTTGAAGCTTCCTAGAGACTTTCTGTTATTGCCAGTCTGTAGAATAAAAGAGTAACAAGATAACAGTATTAGTTAAGCTGATTTCCAATACCCAATCATACAGTCACACACAGTTGAGTTTTTAAATGAATACTTAGACCAAATATTACAGAAATAATGTAAAAGATGCAGGTCTCGCCTAGAAATGCTAGTAAACTACTCGGAAGAACCAACTTCCTAATCACCCAAATATTCAAACCCTTCATTTTCTACAAAAAATATTTCATCCATTGTTATGTACAAGAAGCAAGAGAAAATCATGTTTCCATATTAGAACTCAGAAGGAGATAATTGGTGAATACAAAATACCTTTTCGTATTTAGATGAATTGAGAAGGCCTAATTTTTGTTTGTTCAACCCATTGCTTCGTGCCCGCCGAATGTCTCTTCTAAGCTTCAAGTCTTCAAGAATATTCATCTCCAAGAGCCCAGGAATAGCGATTAGGTATTGGAGAGTGGAGACTGGAGACCTTTCTGAAACTGTAAAACCCTATCTCTTCTTCGGCTCTTCCAGTCCCGTCCTTCACAATTCGACATTTCCCACAGGGCAACACATTTTGTTTGGAGTTTGGAGTTTGGGCTGGGCTAACACTCTTATTAGTCGGGTGTACAATTGGGGCAGTGGGCTGTTTTTGACCCAAGAGGCATAATTATAGGTATATGTAAATATATATAAATTTGGTATTACGGTATTTCGGTATACCGAAAACTGATACGGTACATACCGATACCGTACCAAAATAGTTACCATACCTTACCAAAATTTACGGTAAGGAAAAATTTCGGTAAAATTGGTATTTTTCGGTACGGTAAGAGCGATATTTCGGCTGTTTCGGTATTTTTCCCCAGCCCTACTTACAACCTCAGATGGTAGTACATCAGCATGTTTGGTGTCATTTCCTACGCTATTAGAACACGTGTAGCCTGGCTTACCAGATCTGGTAAAGAAAGAACCTAAAACAGACATCATGATGATGACAATAAAATAATAATAATAATAAGGGAAAGTTCCCGAAATAGGACTAAAACAGTTTGAAAATTCCAAAATAGGACTGTCATGTTTTTTATTCCCAAAATAGGACTAATTACTGCCATGTTTGAAGTCTGCTACTGCCAAAACATGGCAGTAATTAGTCCTATTTTGGGAATAAAAACATGAAAGTCCTATTTTGGAATTTACAAACTGTTTTAGTCCTATTTCGCGTAATATCTCTAATAATAATAATAATAATAATAATATCAGGTTCCTTTGCTCATATCACACTAAACAAAAAATATCATGTGTAATAAAAATGTTAGAAAGTTATCACAGAATCAGCGTATAGGGTTTTACTCCTATGTGTTTCTCCTCCACTGATCTGAAACTTGACGAGTCCTAGAAGCAAAGAATAGTCAGAGGAGAGATTTGATCTTCGTCCATTAGCATTCAAAGATGGTCATTGCCTTTTGAAGGGCTCCTCAGCTTTGCCAAGATGGACTATATTTCACCTTCACTAATCTGACAGTCCACATAGTTAAATAAGCATCCGATATGATCATTTTAAAATTTAAAGTAAAGGTCACCACAGATTTGACAAGATAGACATGCAAATTGAATCGCTCACCAAACTATATTCGATATGAACATCATGACAAAATTCATCGTAAATTTCTACAGATAAAAATTCTCATATGGAGACAAAAGTAGAAAATGTGTGTCTTACAATATAGAAATATTGCATAAATACAACATTCAAGCATTTGTATTTTGTACGAAGAGTTTAGGTTGAGGAATGTGCAGTAACTGTTAGCTATTTTTGAGGAGGGAGAAGGTTCGAGGACTCGCAGTTCAGAGTTGTTGCAGCTCTTGAACCTGCTTCCCTGACTGATTCTTTCTACTGATATCTCTTGATCAATGCTATGAGGTTTTCCTGATGCTGATGACTGTCCTCCTGTATGTACAAAAATTAAAATACAGACCAGTATCCTTTTTTTGTTTTTGGTTTGTTCTCTCTAAACTTTGCCCAAAATATCCACCACTTATACACTTATTAGTTATTACACCTCAAGTTATAAGGGTATAGACTTATATGTTTCTCTAAGCTGATCTTAAACTCCAATGAGCTTAAGAAGAATAGAACAGCTATGAGAGAAAGTTAAATCAAGTCCATTAGCATTGAAAGCAGATCACTGCAAACCCAAAAAAACTTTTTCTACAGAAAACTATGTAGAGTCAGAAACAGAACACGCACACTGATACCAGCTGAGAAATGGAAAAAATGACTTAAAATGGACACATCATCTCTTTATATATGTATGGAGATATACACATACCTCATTGGGAGTATTGTGCAGCAACCTTCCCTTGCTGTTATAGTAAGGACGTACTTCAACCTTTCCCTACAAGGTAACATCATCATTACCTTAATCTCAGATAATTAGGGTCAGTGATATACTGATATGAAATGTATGGCGTGATTTAATTCAGTTCACATTATACCATTCAAAAAAAACATTATACCATTCCAAAAACATTACCCCAGTACCGCAAAGGCAACTACCGATGGTGGGGTAAGGGGTCAGATGTACATAGTCTTACCCATGTACTAAAGCACAGACTGTTTCGAGATGACCCAGATGAAAATCACGTCAAAAATTGCATGGAGTGGCTACTGTTTCATAACAAAGAATGCAGACAGTTTAGTGAGCCATTTTGCTTTATTCCATGATATTCCATTATTCACAAGCCAAAAAATAGTGAGATTTTTGCTCCATTAGAAATGATGGAAAGTCGCTTTTAGCATTATTAGGGGGAAATCAAAGAGTCACATTGGATGCTATTTCTGTTCCAGCCTTCTTACTAATGGTATCACCGAGTAGGAGAAGAGATATCTCACAGAAATAGTTCAAAAACAGGCATAAAAGAAACTCGAAAAGAGCAGAATTTCCACTAATGGGAGCTAAAACCATAAACTTTGCAAGTCAATACTGTGGATAAAATATTTTTAATCATGCTGTTCATATATCATAATTACATCCTCATCTTTTTTCCTTGTTTTTATCCTTATATATATATAAGCATTATTTGTATCCTTTTTATTTTATCATTTTTATGAATATTCATCTCTTTTTATATTATCTTTTTATCATAGCTTATCCTTTTTATCTTTATTTTCTTTCTTTTCCTTTTGGTGGTGATATCATGTATCGATTCATGTTAGCCGACCCCAATATCTTTTGGAATTAAGGCTTGGATGTTGTTTGTATTCTGTTCATATATCATAATTACATCACAATTACAACAAGTGCACACCATAGTGTGACCAAGAACTCAACACCCACAGTTATAGTTGTGATCATAGTAGTCAATGGCTAGATGCGCTATATGCGCCATTCGTATATGTGCTATCGTCATGCGCCATGAAAAATGCCTTTGAGCCATGGCGATCACCATGCGCCCTGACAACTATGGTTGTGATCAATGAAACCATGTTTTGAATAGGAATCAGTAAGAACCTGGCATAAAAACTAATGAATGCTCTTTGACTTACATACATATTATCTTTCTGCATCCATGGTTTTCCATCTGTTCTTGAATTTGGTTTTCAGCAAGATTTAGCAAGTGATTCGACTAGTAATTCAGATATAACTGCTGCTGTTGCCTCTTGTAAGTAGACAATAAAGGTCTCCATACTCTGGGAATATTCTATTGAGGGAGACTTTCCAAAAATCAGAGCAGATTTAAAGCCACATGTAAGTAGACATTACTAGGTAGGCTGCAGGTGAGCTAGACATAATACAGTAACGCTGTCCACAGATAAAGGGTAGTCAAAATTACCCTTTGTGTTCATTAAATCTTGGGAGAGAAATTTAACCACTAACATTTGACAAAATGTCACAAGATTTGACTAAACATCATCAATAAGAGAGGCAATTTCCAGGGAAGTTAGTTCAGTATCTGAGGTCAAGAACTCTAGAATGTTATAAATATAATCACTTTCAGGGTGTGTTTTGTCTCCAGCAACAAATGCATACATCTTTGTCTTCAGTTTTAACCATGACCACCCAGGCTCTTTAATTACTCCTTTTGACCTCATCAGCTTCCTCAACTCCGCTGCTTCCCTCCACTTCCCTTTAGAAGAATATATATTAGCCAGAGTAATATGGGCCCCAGCGGAGTCAGGATCCAGTTTAAGGATATGTTTTGCAGCACGTCTTCCACATTCAACATCACCATGCAGCCTGCAAGCCCTGAGGAGAGTTGACCAAACAACATCATCCTTTTCAAATGGCATGCTATTTATCATGTTCTCTGCATCACTTAAACGTCCTGCTCGGCAAAGAAGATCAATCATGCAACCATAATGCTCTTTAGAGTGTCTTAATTTATAGTCCCTGATCATTGAATTAAAGTAATGAAACCCAATATCGACCAACCCTGCATGGCTGCAAGCACTGAGAACTCCAACAAAGGTTACTGAATCCGGTTCCAAACCAGCCTCAGACGATTTCTCAAATAAATCAATAGCTTCTCTGCTTTTACCATGTTCAGCCAATCCACTAATCATAGCCGTCCACGATACAATATCATTACACTGAGCCATTTGAAAAATATATGAGGCTTCTTTGATGTTTCCACATTTTGAGTACATAGTTACCAAAGCACTGTGTATCAATACTGTCTGATCTAAACCAATGGCAAGGACATGAGCATGCAGTTGCTTCCCTTGATATAGACTGGTCATATTTCCGCATACACTTAATACACTAGCAAGGGCAAACTCTGTAGGCTCTGTTCCTTCCCTTCTCATCCACGAGAGAAGATTGAAAGCCTCCTCACCATGTCCAGCTTGAGCATACCCTGCAATAATAGTGCTCCAAGAAACAATGTCTCTCTTGTTCATTGCATTAAACACCATGGATGCTGAACCTAACAAGCCACATTTTGAATACAGTGACATCACTGAATTTCCCACAGATGGAAAAACCACAAAACCTGTATGTAATGTATTGGAATGCAGTTGTTCGCCCCAATCAAGTCTTGCAAGATTAGCACAAGCAGCAACAATTGCTGCATAGGTGTACTCGTTAGGACTTGTGTGTGAGTCTCTCATTCGCAAGAATGCTTGGATTGCCAGTTCATCTTCACCCATTTGGACATATGTTGTGATTATAGACGTCCAAGAGACCACATCTTTCAAAATCATTTTTTCGAACAGGCACAATCCATACTTTATATTCCCACATTTATTGTACATTGTGGAGAGACTATTAGCCACATAAGATCCTGCACCATAGCCTTCCTTCACAATCCGAGTATGAATTTCCCTCCCATAATTCAGATACCCCATATCAGCACACGCCTTTAATGCAATGGCATAGGAATATGAATCGTATTTTATTCCATCTTCCCACATTTCAGAAAAATACATCAGAGCCTCATTGTTATAGCCCATATGAACAAGTCCAGTCACTATAGCAGTCCAAGATACTACATTCTTGTTAGGCATCTCATCGAACTGTTTGCAACCTTCCCAAAATTTTCCCAATTTCATATACATATTAAGAAGTGAGCTTCCCACAAAAATAGAATTCACAAGACCACTTTTTACAGAATATCCATGCACAAGTTCTCCACACTTAACATTTGTACTAATCCCACAAGCCTTTAGTACAAGGCTAAGTATGAAAGGATCCATGTGAAGATCAGTGTAGGCCCACATATCATGAAACAGAGATAGTGCTTCGAATGATTCAGAGGCATTTACGTAAGCAGCAATCATGTTGGTCCAGGAGATTTCATCTCTATATGGCATTTTATTGAACATCTCACGAGCATTTCTAACATGTCCTTTCTTGATCAGTTCCTTCAATTGAGAGTTGATAACCATAATATTCCAGCTGTGGGTTTCTTGTGTTAACTGATCTACGTTACTCCAAGTAGCCGATATATCTCTTGATTTTGCATATGCAACATTTGATGATGCATAAAATCTCCTGAACAACCGCAAAACCTTGTGATTAAAACCATTCATGTGCACGGATCAAGCACAAATCAAACACAAATCAGCCCATGCTTTCAATGTTTCACATTATTATTATTGCATTGTTATGGTGTGGTCCATTAGGGTGTGGATGGAGTGTTCTGGAGGGAAGGGCTTTGGGGCATAGAATATATACCCCAAAGCCTCAAATAAAAAGTGATACGAATAGGGATATTTTGAGTTTGCACCCCACTTTATTGTTGAAATTAGACTATGCACCTCATTTTTGAAATCTTTAGTATTTGCACCCCAACCCCGTATGAAAAGACTAAAATGCCCCTCAGTTAACAATTTTGTTGGCCTTCAACATATTTCTGATCAAGAGGCATTCTTGTCTTTTCATACGGGGTTAGGGTGCAAATACTAAGGATTTCAAAAACGGGGTGCAAAGTCTAATTTCGACAATAAAGTGGGGTGCAAACTCAAATTATCCCATACGAATATTATGTGATCACATATTATGTTTATCTTCGGCTTTCTCAAAATTTCAAATATATATCAAAATAAACTCATACCCTCCAAAACTTTCCCTTCCATACATCTCCAATCCATATAGACCCTCCTTGAAGAAAGTTGACTAGTTCATCAGAGATTAAAAAATTACCAAAAAGAACATTAAGTAACTGCTCATTTGCACTAAAAGTTTTGTGTTTACTACTTTGCAGTCTGTGTTCAAGACAGTTAGCAAAAGGGTGTCTATTGGGACTTTTTATATTGGACTGCGTTAATTTAAGATAGTTGGGCCCACGTCATTATTCCTACATCCCAGGTAAAAAATCATGTATACGAATTTTAGTTTGATAAGATCAGTTAAACTATAGTTTATTTTCTTTTAGCTGTTTATACTCTACGGTTCGTTTGGATAGAGTGACCTTAAGTGAGTCTAGGGTTAGTACAACTTGGTTCAAAATAAGTGAACCTAGGAAAAGGGGCCACACGTGCCACATCCGGAAAAATTGATGGTGTTAGTGCGCTTGAGACCTTCTCTGTCAACCATCTCAAACATAAACCCTAATTTGCAATAAAAAAGGTAAAACAAATACCCTAAATACAAATGCGCCAAAGCACAACTGCACAAGATACTCTTTTGTACTTCTCCCAAAAAATTAGAAGTTAGGCCATCAATTAAAACAAAGTCTAAAGTCAATCAACAATCAAAACGAAGTCTAAAGACAATCCACAATAAAAATCATAAGCATATTGTGAGAAACAAACTGCAAAAAGTGCATGATAATCATTATACCCGCAAAAAGATAAACGAAAAAAGGCATTAAAGAGTGAAGTAAATGGAGGACAGATAAATATAAGAACAATAAACAGGTTGGGATGGGGCTTACCTTGTACGCTGATTGTACCAGGTCATAACCGTCTTGACCACTGGACCTGGATTCTTGTAAACCATATATCTCGTCATTCCATTTCAACAAGTGCCGTGATCAGATACAAAAGTGATAGAATCATCCTGAAGTTCACATTCAAAACCTAGCTTGGTTACAAATTGGGCAATCCAGTGGATGATTGATAGGCAATGATTTCATTACACCTTACGAATTGATCTTTATTCTGGTTAAAAAGTTTCCAAAATAGGTATTACATGCCTAGAAGGTAGAAGGCTACTAAATATGTAAATGGAAAAGCAGCTGGAAGATATCTTATGAAATTACAGTATTATCACATATCAAGACTACTTTAATGCTAGCACTACATGGATTTCAAAATCAATTATCTCCATACTTCTTCATATGTACAGCATTAACATGGGACAGAAGAATAAAAATACAACATGAAAATGGAATAGAAGAACAAAATAAACCATGAACATGAAATATGTATGTATAGCCAGTATAGGTGCAGTCGAACTGCACCCACTCCCCATGACTTCCAACGACTTCATTTATAAATTCAAGAATAAATAAACGAATTTACTTGCACACATGCATAACATGAACACCATAACAAAACTCCTTGTGGATATCTACAACAAAAAATTATCCGACGGAGGTAGAAGTTGAGAAGACGAAAACTAATTTAAAGCAAAAAGTGAACAAAAGTGAAGTATCACTTTTGTAAGACTTATGTAAGGTGACCACTATGGCCAGGATGTCACCTTACATATTTTTTATTCATATTGTAAAAAACAATCCCTTGTAAGTGAACAAAAAAGTGATACTTCACTTTTGTGACCACGGTTGGCCAGAGTGACCACTGCTGCTAGTGACCACTGTTGCTAGTGACCACTGCTGCTAGTGACCACGGCGGCCTTTGACTACCGCCCCTAGTGACCACAGTGCCCACAGTCGACTCCGGTGCAGACCAGTTACAGTTACACATATCCCAGGGACGGAACCGGTCAGTGACCACCACATAGCCCCTCAGGTGACTGTCGTCCCGTTCCTTCCGGTGACCGCCGGCGCCGCCCCCTCCCCATCCTCAGCCACCCGCCCCAACTATCCAGCCCAAGAGAGCCTCCCTCTCCGGCCCCCACCCTAGCGTCCCCAACTGCCGCCCCAAATTTAGCCGCACCACCGCGTCTCACGGTTGAAACCACCGCCAAACAGCCCGAACATCGGCACGAACCCAGGTCCCCAACCACCCCAGCATTGGTCGCATATCAGGTCGCACACCTAGCCATAGCATCACCGCCGCAGGCACTAGTTGTCTACTATTCGGCCATAGCCGAACCCTAGCCGCCACATATATGGGACTGTCGGGTAGAAGATGGAGAAGAAGAGAAGGGGAGGGGAGACACACCTGGATGCGGAGGCGGGCGTAGGAGGCGGTGCAGAAATGGCAGCGCAGGCAGGGGGTAGCAGGAGGCGGAGAGATGGCGATGGCTTTGGGGTGAAGTGATAGGGAGGCACGAGACGGACAAATGAAGTTGATTTAATTTCAAGGGTAATACTGTCGTTTCAAATATAGTTCAGTCTTAGGGGGTGTCCCCGATATGGATTCTTACGGATTTTAAAGGAATTTAGAATTCCATCAAAATCCGGGTGTCCTCGACCTGGATTTTCAAAACTCCTTTAAAATCGGGGTATCCTCAATTACTTCATGGATTTGTTTCTCTTGGATTTCAACTGATTTTAATGGAATTGGTATGAAAAATAACACTAATCCAATTACACCCATTCTCTTTGTCTCACCTCTCGGATTTGAAATCCACCCTACCAACCCGACGTACCCGGTACTTATCTATCACGTTCTTCCGCAGCGGAGAGCCACTTTCCTCCCCATTCTTCATCCGTAGCAAAGACCGTTCTTCTTCTCCAGGTTTGTCTCCTCCTTTTTTTTTTACTTTTTCTCAGTTCTTCTATGGACTGTTGTTAAATTTTGGGTCTGTTATTCTACAGAAAGGGTTTATTCTATGGATTGTTGTTAATTTTGGGTCTGTTATTCTTCATGCGCCAGTTTTTCCGCCATCATGTGTTCCACTCTTCCACAGAAACTATCCCTTGTTCCTATCATTCAAAACCGCATCACAGCATATTTCAACTTTACCACACAAACGCAAAATTAAATAAGCAAAAAAGTAAGGTGTTAACACCATAACCACTGCAGACCTTGTAATACTCGTAAAAGGCGGTGTTCTGGGTGGCGAAAGGCTCCCACGAATAATTAAAGTTGAGTGTTGCAAAATTGAGAAGATGACCGACCTGTGTGTTCCAGGTGTCTAAGGAGTTTCTATGAAATCCATATGATTCCATCAAATAGAATTCCATAGAATTCCATAGAATTCTATATGAATCTCATTGAATCTGTAGAATTCCATTAAAATCCATAGAATCTACAATCCTTTAAAATCATTTAAAATCCATGTTGGGGACACCCCCCTTATTTTTTGCTCAAATTAAGACTCCGATGACCCTGTTTTTGGCTTATCAACCGTTTTTTTCATCAAATACGTAATTTTTTATTTCATGCGTTGGATTGTTAATAATAAGAAAACGTAAAATTAGAGTTACTTTTTTGTTTGTTTGGTGAAGTTACTGTAGAAGATCATTTTAGCTATTTTTCATATAAAATATATTTTAAATATAATTTTTTCAAAAATCTGCAGAATCAGCAATACAACCACTTCAGCCAGAACTTCATAAATTTCAACAGAATCAGCCAATACAACCAATTTAGGTATTACCAAACGGGCTCTAAATCTATAGTTTTATACTCCATACAGTAAAACTGTAAAACTGAATTATAAATCAATGATGTGTCAATATGTCATTAAATGCTAAAAATTCTAATTATGACTCATATTACAACAGTTAATTATTACTCCCAAGTTCACAGTGCATTAACTTTGTTTTACATCACTAGGGGTGCAACTGAGTCGAGCCACTCATGAGCCGCTCGGTCAAAGCTCGAATCGACTTCGCTCAAACTCGAGCATGAGCCAGCTCGTTAGGCAGTCGAGCCATAAACGAGCTTACTAATTTCAGGCTCGCAAACCCAGTTTTATGTGTGTATATTTATATGAATATATATAATATATTATCATACAATATAAATTAATATACAATATATATTAGTATATATAATACGAAGTATATATGATAATATATATAGGGGTGAGTTCTAATACAAAGAGTTCTTCCCGTGAAAAGTGAGAACTAATCTAAGCGCTTGATTACTTAAAAATGGATGGTATAGATCAAAACTCACAATCAACAAAAATGTGTAATACATAATAGCAAAAGTGCATATGCAATATGTAATGGTGCATATTCATCTTCTAAAAAACATCAGCAACGATCTTTATACTTGTTATGTTTTTCCCGAAAAGTAATGCACTTTATTGTTAGTCTAATGCACTTTTCCTCCGTAGTGATGCACATTTGTCACGTTAGTTTTCAAAAAAGTTTTTAATGATTACACTTTTGGCACCGAATTTTTCCCTTAAAAATTGATCTCATCCACTCATTTTCTCATTTTAACGGCTAAGATTACTTCTCATTTTTCATATAAGTAGTACTTTGTATTTGAACATCCCTCTCTCTCTCTCTCTGTGTGTGTGTGTGTGTGTATATATATATATATATATATATATATATATATATATATATATATATATATATATATATATATATAGGGGATGGTTCAAATACAAAGAGTTCTTCACATGCAAAGTGAGAATGAATCTTGTGCATTCATTTTCACATCTAATGGCTCAAAATGAGCCAAAAATGCATGAAATTCGACCAAAATCGCGGTGGCAATTTCGTAAATAAACCACACTTTTTCGCCACCGTGAAAAAGTGAAGCAGAAACATGAAAAAGTGCAAGCGAAACATGAAAAAGTGCATATCTTCCCACTTTGCACGGGAAGAGGTCTTTTTAGTTGAACTCTTCCCTGTATGTATGTATGTATATATATATATATATATATATATATATATATATATATATATATATATATATATATATATATATATATATATATATAGGGGATGGTTCAAATACAAAGACCTCTTCCCATGCAAAGTGAGAAAGAATCTTGTGCATTCATTTCCACATCTAATGGCTCAAAATGAGCCAAAACTGCACACAATTCGACCAAAATTGCGGTGGCAATTTCGTAAATATGTTACACTTTTTCGTTATCGCGAAAAAGTGCAACAGAAACACGCAAAAGTGCAAGCGAAAGATGCAAAAGTGCATATCTTCGCACTTTGCACGGGAAGAGGTCTTTTTATTTGAACTCTTCCCTATATATATATATATATATATATATATATATATATATATATATATATATATATATATATATATATATATATATAATACCGATTAGTAAATGAATATGGAGATCGGGGAGATATTATTTATTATAAAGTAATTTAACAAAAATAATTAAAGTTTCATCCACTATTTCTCCATGGTTTGACCACTTTTGATTTTCATTAGAAGTACAACTTGGTCGAGACTTGAAGTCAGGATTAGATTTTATTTATTTTTCATTCTCGTAACTTTAGTTTCAGTTTAATATTCATGGTTTGATCATTTTTTATTTATTTTGGACAACATTTACTCTACTTTTAGTTGATGGGCATGTAAATTGCAATTTGCAAATATTAATCACAAATATTCAATTATGTAAATTGCAATTTGCAAAGTGTTATTCAATTTGCATGAAAAGAAAGGAGAAAAAATCTCATACTCCCTATTTTTAAAGTGTCATAAAAAAAATTATTTGTACTCCAATTATTATAAAACGTATATCAAAATTTATAACTTTTTTTTATTATTCATATGACACTAATATAGAATTTATGTAAATATTAAAAAACAAAAACTGAAGATCCAATTGGTAGAGATTTTTAGGCGTAGAACTTGTTTTTGTAATTTAAGCCCAAAACTATTTTAAGTAGATTAAAATCCTAAAATTAAGATTTCATAAGGGTTTTTTACATAAATATTACCGAAATAAAACTTATTACATAAATATGATTAATAGTTTCTGCAATGTAGTGTCATAGTAACTTAAGTATAAAAATTGAATATAAATTACTATGATTTCATTACTACTCTAGTCATTAGTCACATTTTTGTAGAAAATCTTAATTTTAGTCATAAAAATGTAATTATTTTTTATGTGTTCTATATAGTAAACTTGAATTATGAAATGCTGTGTGACTCTCTTATTAGCTTCGCATAATAATGCTAATATTACTTTTACATCCTTTGTTTAACTCATTAACTGATGCAAATGCTCATACAATATAAAAATTAAATCATACCTTTACATTACAACATTTTATTAAATTGTAACATCTTATATATATGTTTAACTAGACTTTTCACCCGTGCGTTGCACCGGATGCATTCAATAAGCTATGAATAATTTAGAAGAAAAACATATAGTAAAAATAAAACAACACAATGATATGTTATATTAGAAAAGTAAATGAATATTAAAAGTACAAATTATTATACACCTCTTCGTAAATCACATTTAAAGTGTTTTTGGATGATTTTCTTTCATCTTCACATAATAAACTTCAATCGAGAAAGATGCATTAATCTTGAGAGGGCGGCGTAAAACTACTGATAGGTGAAGACTGTCCTTGAGGTTTGTTGATTTCATCATGTAACTAAGCATTAAAGGAAGTTGTCTATCCTGGAATGTGAACAACATTAATAATTATTATAAAGTGAATAATTCATTGAGAACGTAATTTAAAAAAAAAGAGTTGTATTGTTTTGTTTTTTACCAAACAAATCTGATGTTTTTTCGTCGACTACATTTTGAATGTCAATGAAGCTTTTGAACTTATATGGGGAACCTCAAAAAGGAGAAACCTCTCTCACGCTTGAAGTTTTAACTTTGTTTTATGTAAAGTGGGCCCTAAAATTGTAACAAATCGGTATCCGTCATCCTAGATTACTATGGTCAGTGAATTACATCATCCCATAGACTTGTCCATCTTCAATTCTAGAGTTTCAAATATAGTGGCATGCTACTCATCAATTTTATGCATATAAAGATATATATTAAACTTAAAACTCCATAAATTTGCCAGTTTTTTAATCAATTAGCAAGAGAATTGATTCTAACACCTTACTAAAAGTTCGAGTTGATGTAGTAGTTTGTGCACGTGAATGCACTGTATTTATATTAGATATATATATGATCTTGATACATATAGATAACCAATAAATGAAAATGCAAAAAGTACAACATGAAACCAATAAAAGTAGTCTACATGAGCACCATTCAAGTTGTCTGAAAGCCAACTTTCTCTATCATCATCTTTACCTGCAACGGCTGGCTCAAAGAGATGAGAAAGCTGCATAGGATGCTAGCTGCTCAACAACGGAGATGAGAAAGCTGCCTATTCCAAATATCCGAAGGATTCATAAGTAGCTTTGTCAATTGTTTGGGCACTTGTTCAAAAAAACTCTCGTGTTCAACCATGG